TACAAAAGCAGATTGGAGGATCATACTAGTTCTAGCAGGACAGATTCTTTTCCAGGGTTTTTAGAGGTGGAGGTGTCAGGTGAGCTAGCCTGCTGAAAGCTTAATAAAGCAATGGGTCCTGATGATATTCATCCCAGAATCCTAAGGGAACTTCTAGGTGTACTTGCTGGACTATTAACTGATCTTTGTAACGTGTCTCTTCTAACAGATGAAGTTCCCCAGAACTGGTGAATAGCTAATATTGTACCCATCCATTAGAGCTAGGGAAGAATCTGGAAACTATAGAATCTGAGCTTAATATCTGTAGTAGTGATGTTAATGGAATCACTCTGGAAAAAAAAGGATTACCAAACATTTAAAAGCACACAACTTGATGGACCCAAAACAGCATGGCTTTACTGAGATATATCATGTCAAACTAATCTGACTGACATCTTTAATTAAGTCACAAATGTTTGGACGAAGGTGCTGTAGACATAGCCTATCTGGATTGTAGCAAAGCATTTGATACATTTCCACATAATGAGCTCATAAAACATTGAACAGGCGCTAGGGCTTAACCACTGGGTGGTTCGGTGGGTAGGAAGTTGGCTTAGGGATAGATCCCAGTGTGTGATTATTATTGGGGCACTGTTTGAATAGAGACCAGTCACAAGCAGTGTACAACAAGGCTCAGTCATAGATCCTGTTCTGTTCAATGTGCTGGTAAGCGATATAAAGAAGGATTGCTAGGTGAAGTTTGTCTTTTTGCTGATGAGTCAAAGGTATGTAATAGAGTTGATGTTCCTTTGGGGTATTTGTAACGTGGAAAATGATTTGGCATTGCTGGAAAATTGATCAAAAATGTGGAAACTGCAATTCAATATTTCTAAATGTAAAATCATGCACTTAGGGAAAAACAATCCTCTGGCAAAGTACAGTATTGTGCATACAGACAGAACAATAGAAGAAAAGGATTTAGGTGTGCTCATAGCAGATGGCTGCAAAATGAGTAAACAAGGTGGTCAGGCAGCTGTGATGGCAAACAAAATTATGGGATGCATCACTAGAGGGATCGGGGCAGGAAAAAGGAGGTCCCAATCCCGCTATATAGGGCTTTAGTCAGACCCCATTTAGAATACTGTGTCCAGTTCTGGAGAGCTGACTGAATGAATCCAGAGACGGGCAACAAAAATGATGCAAGTTCTGTGGGACAAAACATGTTGGGAGAGATTGGAGGAACTGAATATGCACAGCCAGGAGAACATCATTGAAGGGGGAGACATGACTGAAACCTTTAAATATATTAAGGTGTGAATGAGATTCTATAAGGAAGGATTTTCAATATTAAGCAAAAATCAAGAACACGGCTGACAGGAAAGACAAAAGTAATGCTAGAAAATATTATTTCACAGAAAGAGTAAGGGAAGCTTGAAACTAACTTCAGCAGAGGTGGTGGGTCAATCATCAGCAACTGAGTTTAAACATTCTTAGGGTAAACACATGTCTATCATCTGACAAAATTTAAAAATAAAAAACCTCAAAAGGCAGACCACTATGTCTTTTTCTGCCAAATATTTTCTATGTTTCTGTCTCAATCTTGTTCAGTAAAATATGTTCCTCTTCCATAACATCTCTGCAATACAGTCTATCTATAATGGCAGACATTTTAAAATTAACTTCTGGGTCCATTGTTCAAAAATATCCTTCAGCATGTGCAATGTTAAAATATTTTGATCCGTTCTTATTAGTAAGTCAAATTAAGTGTTCTTCCTCTATAATTGTACTCTAGTTCCTTTTGGTTTCCTCTAACATCTAACCTTCAAAGTCTCAGCCTAACATGTTTTTTTTTTAAAGAAAACTCAAAACAAAAGCATTTTTCCACAGGAAGTATTCTTATGATTAATTTCAAACTTTTATTTCAAGTACATCTAGACCCTAGTCAGATGTACTTTCAAAATCAAAGTTCTAATCCCTCATTTGCTGTTTATTCCAAAAGAAAAATAAATGAATCCTCAAATGTATATTTAAAACTTCTTTTGCTAAGGATTAAAAGAAACTCACTCACTGCTATAAAACTTGTGAATACAAAGGTTTCTAATAGCTGAAAAGAAGTTAACAGTTTCTGAACATGATTAGAAAAAGACGTATGCAAACTCATTGTCCTTTAAAGTACTGACCCTTCAATTCCCTTGTTGTGTATGCCCTCTTCTCCTAGAGCTCTAAATCTGCCAGAGACTGCTCATGCAAAGAGCAACTGTATGGAGCACTTGTGGGCAATCTTAAGACCTTTCCTTATCCAGAGAAGAATTACAAAGAGACAGACTATTTGCCAGCTCTTCATTCCACTGTGGTTATTGGCTCCACTTTCAATTGAGTCATCTTCAGTTTGCTATTTCTTCCTCAGAGGTCATCTGAAACACCTCTTCTAGAAGTTAATTTATTATTAGTAATGAAATATATATGCTGCCTAATTCAAAGCAACTCTGAGCAATTTGTGCAGCTTATATTAAAATCCAGATGTGTCAGGTAGCCACTTCCATTAACACTTGGGTAGTTCATACAGTAACTTCATGTATTACATAGCAAAACGTTTTACATATTNGGGCTCCAGGAATCAAAGTCCAGTGACATAATAGCACTCCCTTCATGCAATACTGTTGCATTTAGGACTGTTCAGCTTAACAAATTTGATATGAATTTAGTCAAAATTGACAGAAGATGAGATATGACCATGCTAAGCATGCCTACATCAGATTCAATCTAAAGGCTTTCTTTCCTGATTTATATTTTGACTACTTTCAAATTTGAGGACTTCATGTCAGCCTGTCAAATCCTTTAAGGCTGGCAAACTCTGGAAATGAGAATCTCTTGGACTTCTGGAATGATCATTATTGTTAGTACAGTAATAACAAATCTCCACATGAACTTTTATGTAGTATGATTAAGGCACGTTTACTGTGTTTCTTTCTCAAACTTTCTCCCATTTCTGGACTAAGGAATCATTTTGTAATGCTCCAGTTGCTTCCTCAGACAGGATCTGATAGATATTCCATTGCAGAGTTATAGTTATTGATAACTTCTAATTACATTTTAAAATCTAATGAATACCTTATCCTCAGCATTTTGTAGAATATATACTGTTTATATCAAATAATCTCTTATTCTCTTCTCTCTGCCCCTTTATTAATGCAATATCTTGTCCACAGTTCTTTTTTTAAAAAAAGATTAGGATCAAGCCACTCCTAAAGAAATCTATAGTATACTCAGAAAATATAAATATTTTTTAAAATTTGGGTGAACACAACTCTTTCCTTTTTGCAACATAGCTTCCTATGTACAATTTGGGTGAACACAACTCTTTCCTTTTTGCAACATAGCTTCCTATGTACATTGTTTTATGTGTCTTCTTGTCTTTCTCCTGTACATTCTAGGATGGACAAATAAAAGAAAGAGCTGAGGACATTTCATTTTTAACAGCTGGGTGGAAAAGAGAATTTTAGCAGAGACAGACTGTCATACAAAGTCATTTCCCACTACTGATTTAAACAGCCATTCTCTTCTGCATATGCCATGACAAACCAATGTCACTGTTCAATTGGCTGTCTACATTATAAATCCCTATTTTGCTTCTGTTGAAACTTCCTGCCCAAATCCATTGTTTAAATTTGTAGATATGACAATCATTACAGGCACTCTTTGGCTCTTGTCACCATCCTCTTCACTTTAACCAGGTGGAAAACTTCTACCAATCAGAGCAGTGCAGCAGGAATGGAAGGAGACTGATATCATTTCCCAGTTTCTGCCATTTAGGCATTTAGGTACAAATTAATAATGTGAAAAGAAAAAATGAGAAGATGTTTTCTAATTATAAACTTACACTATGTGTCTTTTTTTTTAAACTAACTAAGCTGCACACCAAACAGATTATAATTCAGACAGATATAATTAGATATATCTGGAGGACACCAGAACAGAAATAGATGCAGAAAGTGGGGGGGGGGGAAGCTTTCCCTGGTTATCTAGGTGCTGTAGGGCTGGGTAACAGTAACTGCCCAGCTTCCGGCCAATCTTCTATCTTAGAACACCAATAGCACGTGATTAAAATAGAAAAAAAATACAGGAATATGGCAAATTATAAACAAAGGCACAGTTTGATATCTCTCCTTTACACAATGTTGCAAAGCTACCCCTCAGCTACTTTACAACTGTGTAACTACTGAGTTTGAAAAATATGCCCCTTTTCTTCCATAAATAAAGCAATGGAATTGTTTTTCCTCTGCTTAATATGGTTGGAAGCCTGGATAGAAAATGATTTTAGAAATGAGAAGCAGGATGGTGATATCTATAGAAGGAATAGTTTGTGAAAATGTCAGAATTTGAAGAAATAACAAAACTGACCATTTGGTCAGCTAAAAAAACAAAAACGTTTCTGAAAGACTGACAACCTTATATAGAAACAAATTGATGATTTATGGATTTGAAAATTTAAAAAGAAATGGATTAAATGAGTGGTCTGAAGGGACCTGTATAACATTTAAGCAGGATGAGGGACAATAAGGTTGTAATTATCTGTTGAACTCTTGGAAATCATTCATATATATCTTAACTGTGATTTTTTTAGCACATATAATAATATGACAGATGAAAATGTAGCACTGGAAGGACAACTTACCTTATGATGCAGAAGGCAATGTAATATTTCCAGGATGCTACTTAACTGCTAAATAAACTGCCTGACTTTAAACCAGCTTTCTCAACGTGATATGCTTCAAATATATTAAACTTCAATTAGCATCATTGTTACCAATATAATGATCAGTACAAGTTTGAGGAAGATTGTTTTAGCAGTTCTTATGCATTTTCTCTCTCTCAATAGAGAATGACAGAAATTTTTTGAAAGAGGTAGTTAAAAGGTAATTACCCTACCTCTACAACCCTGCATAGCCCTAAAGGCAAACCATATCTATCCCACTGCAATGGGGCACGTAATTAGCCTACCCAGCCATCCTCATAATTACCTGGGGGTGCTATTCGGTCCTGATACTTGGGTTGGAATTTGCTGACAGTGAGCAGCATGACTTGAATGGTCCCAATGAAGATGCCTGCCAGGCAGCCATAGAAGATCACGTAGAAGAGTAAGATCTTAACTGTGACAAGAGAGAACAAATACTGCTATTAAGGACAAAGGGTTATTAGGCCACTAGAATAAACATCAGTTTTTCAATATTACCAGCACAGGTCACATTAAAATCAACATTAAAGCCAATTGCTATGAAGAAAAGATAGCAAATTCAAGCAATGGCACCTAAATTTAAAGAGATCGGAACAGAGTAATTTTTTAAAGTTGTGAGTTACGAGCATATGCTTTTCATAGAAACTACCATCCTAAATACATTTACTTAGAAAAGACTTGCTTGTTGCAGGTTGTGGGGATTATAATCCAATACATCTAAAAAGTATAATGTTGGGGGAAACTGGCTGATATTGTTAGAACTAGAATGATGCCTAGCTTAATCTGTGTCCTTAAAGGGACTCACGAGCAGTGCATTCCCAACTCCAACATAACTCTTGCTAGAAAACAGTGTTAATGGCTTATACTCCAAAACTGGACTACTGAGAGATAGGAAATATAGAGTAGACCCTAAGTATGGTAAGAAGGTGATGTAGTGGTTAGGGTGTTGGACCAAGCATGGAGAGTTGCCGAAAGTTTATTGGGTGACTTTAGGCCAGACATTTTCTTTCAGTCCAACCTACCTCATGGAGTTGCTATTGTGGGAAAACATAGTACTTCTCTACAAAATGCACAATATAAATCAAATAAATAAATAAGAGACAACTATTGACATTAATCACATTCAACTCATACCCAACTTTGTTACAAATGGATCTAAAATCTACACATATTATTCTGAATGTTTCTTACATAGGAAACTTAAAATATGTTTTTGGAATTATCTCTGCGTCTGAAGTTGCATAAAAACACAACTTGCTGTAATAGTTATCTTGATTAAACTCCCTGTTTTTCATTTTTAAAGTCTCTTTCACAACGTTTATTTGAACTCAAATCCTCTTATGAAGACTCAGTTCTCAACAGCTTCCTCATATTTTGCTTTTTATATAATCTGTTAAGAAAGCTATTCCACATTAATCACCCATTTACAATACCAAATTTTAATCAGTCAGATTAATGCCCCAAAACTTTGTAACAGAATAAATTGGGGGGCAAGAGGAGTAAAATCTTTATTTGTAAAACCGCTTCAGGGAACTTCAGTTTTTGAAATCTGGTTTAATCAGTTTTTAGTTTACAGGGATTATCTCAACTGATTAGCAGCAGTGTTACATGCTGTACTAAAGCTTCAGTGCAAATCTACTAGCAATCCAACTTTTGAATATAAAAGGGGCGGTGAAGCTACAAATTACATTTTAAAAGTGATCTTTGGACCAACATTTGTACAGAATGACTGTGAAAGAGCAGCAATAAGTAATACATATACAGAAAAGTTTCTCCTTTTACAAGCTGGTCAGAGCAAGAGATAAGTCCTATTAAAATAAGGTGTTTTTCCAGCAAAGAAGGGAAAAATGAAAGTAATCCAGAGAGACCAGCAGCACAATAGTTTTAGCACTCCTGGGTTTAACACACTCTATAGTAACCAGGCAGCAGTAGGCAAATAACTGTGACGTCAGAGAGATTTGAGCATTTTTTCCAGAGTACAGTCATAGGAGGTGCTGTTGAAATGAACTAGAGAAAACCTGCTGACAGCAGGCTGCTACGGGTGGCGCATATGGAGGGCAGTGAAGGGACATACATTTAGATGACATTCCTAATCAGGATCTTAATAGTAACCCACAACCTCAAGGTCCACTGTCTTCCTGAGGCTACAGAAGAATTATGTTCTAAAAGGAAAGACACGGCATTTTTAAAGCAACAGAACAGTGTATTATCTAGTACAAAGATAAAATCCTCCATTGGTCTAACCACTCTGAAAGCAATGTAAGGGGCATTTTATTGTCCCCTCAGTAATTGGGTATCACATGACAGACCAGTACCCCCAGAATAATTGAACTAGATCAACTTAGTCAGAACTAAGCCGTAGCTTGTGATGATGGGAATAATACTGTAATGCAAGCCTTTACATCTCCCTTTTACACAGATTCAAGGATTTAAGCCTGAAAATTTTGGCTATGCCACTTCCAAGATGTCATTGGTTAGATTCAGCCATGAAATGGCACCTGGACAACAAATGCAGGTGGAAATAGCTCTCTAACCAGAACTCTTAAACTAACGTGTGGATTATTTTGATATGCACCTTAACCTTTTCTCTTTCCTCTCTAGGCTCTTATTTCATACAGCCATTCTCATTTATTACAAACATATTTTTTTTACTGCATAGAACTATTTGTTGCTTCTGGGTATAGCTGATGTTTCCAATTTGCACAAAAAAATTAGAAGAGATTAGAATGTTCTAGATACTGTACTCTGCAGGATCTACAGAGATACTTAAGTTTCAAACTCCAGCAGTGATTGGATGAGATTCAAGGGCAACCTATCCTTTCCTTCAAGGGCAGTCATATCTAGCATATTACTGTAATGTAAAAGGCCCAGAATGTGCTCTGCACAATCCACATGAGATTTGTTAAGACTTTTTTCCCTTGGAAAAGACTAGAAAATAAACTGCATTTCGTGATTCTTGGCTGGCGCAAAAAGCCTGTTCAAAATAAAGCCTAGGAAGCAAGAAAAGACAACACTGCCTATTCTGAAGTTAATACTGTTTTATAAATTATCGAAAGTGACAGGGGAGTAGATGGAACCTTTGAATGGTAAGTCTCTGAAAATCTACAATGACTTTTGCACTTGAGCTGGCTTGTGCAACACAGAGTCAGTAGTCAGCCCATGAATAGGGCCTAGAGTGGTGGTTGGGGCAAGGATGTCTAAACCAAGCAGCAAATAGGGTGAGTGTAAAGAGGAAGGGTGAAAAATTAAATAGTTTTTGTCTGCGTGTGTTCTCATTCAACCTAGGTTTAGTTGCTAAGAGACAGCCTTCAAGGAGTTTATTATTTCTAAACTCCTTTTGCTTCCCAACCCGACCTTTCTCTCTGTCTCATTCTCCTATCTCTGCAGCTCTTTAGACCTTCCTCTCTCAGTGAAGGTGTATGGACAGCTAGCAAGTCAGATTTTTCAAGAGATGTGTGTCCATCCAAAGGGTCCTCCCTTAAACCAATTCAGGATTCTCCTTGATGCAGTTGCTCTGCTTCCCCAGGGATCTCAAACAAGTCTACCATTACCTCTTTGCTCAGAAGGTATCACCTTGACTAACCTTGAGCTCTGATGCATTATTAACCCTTTGGAGTTGATGGGCTAGAAAACAGTCCCAGCCTTACTCTTTTTCTCTCCCTAATTCCCCAGGATTCTGGTAGCTATTTTAGAAGAGCAAAAGGAAATACTGGGCCCATTCACTGGTATGTCCTTTTCCCCATGTGGTGTCCTTCCTGAGCAAGGCAAAAGCAGCCGCAGTGGCTGCTGTGCTGACAAGGAGTGTAATGGGGGAGGGAGCAGGGCACCCCCCCTCTCTCCTGGCACCTACCCACTCTGCCCTGCCTACAGTCACGATGCGTTTGTGTCCATCAATGCCCTTCAGTGTGACCTTTTTTTTGGGGGGGGGGCAGGAGAGGGAGGAAAAGAGAAAATGAAAAGAAACACAGGCTGCTCTTTTAATGCAGAGGCAACAGGCTGCAGTACAGAGATGAAAGTCCACTCTGCAAGGTGACAAAGCAGCCAGCCTTTCCCCCCCCCCCCACTTGGAGGGAAGGCCCTCCAAGGATACTGAATGTCAGTTCTGATCACCCTGCCCAGCCCATCTGGGGATGTTGGCATCACATCTGGAGGACCCCAGGTTGGGGAAAGCAGAGAGGCCGTCACCAGAGTCCCAGGTTTCTCCCAGGAATGCCTGCCATAGCAACACCACTAAGCTGATTCCGCCAAAAGAAATCCATCGGATCTTTTTACACGCACAACAGCACAAGCAGCAAACGACGGCAGCGTTCACACGACAGTTCGTGTTAACGTGTTAAGCTCGGTTAGCGTTAGTCTTGGTTTGCGGGGTGGGGGGGTTGTCGTGTTCCACGAATTCAGCCATTGACTCACACATCTTGAGGCTTAAAAATAACCCTCAGCCCTCCTTGATTTTGTCAGTTCCTGAAAGGTTCTGCCATCCTGGAAAGTCTCCGCGGTGGCACAAGACCATTGCTCATCTCTCTCACTTCCCAAACGAAGTGTCCCGGAGGTTTGATTTTTTTTTGGGGGAAAGCTGGGAAATAGGGAGGCTTGGTGTGTATTTTTAAACCCGACAGCAGCACGGGAGATGGGCGGGGAGCAGCGAGGGAAGCCAGCCAGCCAGCCAGCCAGCCAGCCAGCCGAGCAAGAAAACCGATCCGCAAGATTTACACCCGTGTGCCCTGCCAGTGTGGTAAAGGCAAGCAGCTGCCGTGAGCCAGGCGCTCAGACCGACGATCCGGCGAAAGCCCGCAGGCACGCGAGGCGGAGGACTTTTCCCTCCCACGCCATCAATTCACACCGCGCACGCACACACACGCGAGTTCGCCTCCAGCCTTGATGCGTCCTGTGTTTTTAACGGAGCCACAACCCCGCAAAGAAAGAAGCAAATCGCGGCTAAGCAGATACTCACACCAACTGCCTCCGGTCCTCCCTAAAAATTCCTTCTTCTCCGAGTTCCAGATGAATTTCTTCCAGTTGCCATCCCCTTCCTTGGCTTTCCCGCGAGCCATGAATCAGGAGCTGCCTTCGGTTGCCTTAGGGAGAGCTACGCAGGGGCGGGGGGGGGGCGCGGAAAAGACGACCTTCTCCTCCGAGATCACTCGGGGCTAGTAGCCGCTAATCCAGAGTACAGATGTTCGTAGCCGCGGAACTGCCGGCAGGCGCTGGGAGGAAACGCGGAGGGTCTTTGTGTGCCGCCGGGCTAGAGTCCCACCCTCCGAAGGGCGCGAACGTCTGAATAATCCTTGTCCCGAGAGAGAGAGAGAAAGAGAGAGAGAGGTATACTTGTATCTCTGGTTCGCTTGGTCGGAAGGACGCTCTCCCAATGCCGGGAAAACCAGGAGAAGGGGGTGGCGAGGAGGCAGCAGAGAGGAAAAGGCTGCAAGCGAGCGTGCCCGTGTGAGAAGCAGCCAAGGGGTGGGAAGAAAGAAACGGGGCTCTGCCCAGGGACAGAAATTAGCTCTGCGCCCTCCCACTCACGCTGGATATATTGTCCACGTCCTGACGCGAGCTCCGCCTGTCAAATGCCGGTAGCCAATTAGAATTGTGGCCAGGCGGGCGAGGGAGCGAAGCTTGGGAGGCGAGGGGAGGGGAGGGAAGGGAGGGGAGGAGAACCAGGGAACGAGGCGCGGGAGATTGAGGCGGCCGGCTGGTTGGAGGAGCAGATTCTCTGCGGCAGATTCTCTCTCTCTTTCCCCCCCCCCTTCCCTCTCCTCCCGTGCCCTCTTCCCCCCTTTCTGCCGGCCTTTCTTCTTGCCGCCTCGACATGTGCTTCGTGCCACACTGTTGCGCGCAGGCAAAGGCGGCGAAAGAGACGAGAAAAAAATTCACCTGTAGTTCCTCCTTCGGGCAGAGGGGGAGGCAGTGGGAGTCCTGCGCATAAAGGGGGCGGGTGAGTGGAGGACAAGAGTCCGGGAACCGAGGCGAGTTTGAGCTCTCTAGATTAACAGCTCGAAACGGGAACTCGGCGGCCCCCCAAAGCGGCGGGCGGGAGGCAGGCACTTAGGGGAGTGGAGGCAAAAGGCGGCCGCTTCCAGTCAAGTCGAGGCGGCGGCCTGGCGGGTCAGGCTGTAGGGCAGAGACCAGAAAGGAAGCTCTCGTTGACGCACCGGTTGGCTAAGAAACCGAGCGGCCTGCCCAGAGAGAGGCCGGCGCGCTCTACACACCTAGGCGCAGCCGGACAAAAACAGCTTGAAGGAGAAAAATGGGGAGGGGAAAAAAGCCCCGAAGTAACCGCCAGGAGAACCAGGAAACGTGGCCGGCGAAAACGGTCCGTTTGTTTGCATCTGCGAGGTTTCCTGGTTGTTGCGTTAGGCTGACATTCACGGACTGCATAATAAGGACATTGAACAAACACTGTGGTGCGAAGGGAGAGTGGCACGCGCGCCTGGCATACTCGGAGGCGGCGTGGCAGCTGAGCTGTGCCCGTAATTGAATCTTCCGTGCCGAGATCGGTTGCCTTCAAAAACAGGCTGCAGACAAGACGAGGCGAATTGACCTTCACGTCCGGAGCCAAAAATCCATCTTTTCAAACGTACCTTTGTGCCCCGGGCTTCCCTCCCATTCTTGTCCTCCCCCCTTCCGAAGGTGGAGCTGTTCTGCTTGCCTGCCTGCCTTCCCTGCAACGTCATCCCTGCAGCCTTCTGTCCTGGGAATGCCCTTCCCTGGGTCAACTTGCTACTGCTGCTGCTGCTTGGAGCTACTGTCACCACTGTTTGCTGCAGAGAGGTCTTTCTCCAGCAGCTCTGGAAGTGAAGCCTGGCTGTATATATATATATATATATATACAAGGGACAGGCAGTTAATGCAAGTCCAGTTCTGGGTTATGGATGCAAGGCAGGTTCTTGAAGGTCTGTCTCTTACTGTAGAAGGAAAATGCTGACTTGGGAGGAGAGCAAAATCCAAATCAGGAGGAGAGCTTTTTTTTTTTTTTAATAAACAAATTTTATTGATTTTTTTTTTTCATCCCCCCAAAATAAACAAACATACAATTATGGCATAAGTCAATAATACAATTAATTTAAAAAAAACAAACTAAAAAAAACCTCCCATTCTAAGATGCTCAGTAGCCCCACAGGAACACATTCCCTCTCTTCAACCTACTTCCCTCAAATCAGGAGGAGAGCTTGATGGGAGGGAAACATCACTATGGTACCACCTTGGTGAAGGCAACAGATTTGGCCAACCAGAGAAAAAGATGTTGCTTAAAGACTAGGAGAATAACATGCTTTCTTTCTCTTCTTTGTATTTGCTATTTGCCCTTTACACACAAAACCCAGCAGAATGCCCGAGACTTGAGCAAAGGATATGGTGCTAGTTTACAGTGGGCACACTCCTTACAACTGTTTTCCTAGCTGAAATTCTTCTGCCGTAGCTTTTGTGCTCCTGGTAACGTTCTGCTGTACTGATACACAAAGAGGAGAACAGAACAATGCACATTCTAAGCTATGCCAGCATAACCTTTCACTATGTTTGTATTGGAACACCTGCTAACATTTCAAGGCAAATGACTGAACGTGTGGGGAAAACATGGCCATCTGACATATCTGCAAGAAGTTGGGGAAAGTGAATGAAACCATAGAAATTATGGTGCGATGGGAAGGAAAGAGTCACACTCAAAAGCTGGATTGTCAGGATATAAATTGAGAACAAGCTTAGGAGGAGGAAATTTAGAAGGAAAAGGTATTTCTTCCTTATTTGACCTTGAACAATGTCACAGACCTCTGCATCAGGATATATATAGTGGTTTATAGAATGACAATGAAAAAAGGCTGTTCATAGGCTGTTCATTTTTACTAATTCTAGTAAAAGCATACCCCACTGCAGAAAAATAATAATTCTTCATTTCTGTGCCCTTTAGATTTTTATTCAGTCACCTTGGATCAGAATTTCCATTTTATTGCAGTGAAGATAGTCCTGCTAAGTGACTGATGGACTTGTCAGGAGCAGGTATTGTAATGATCATTCTTCATGTACTATCATGACCGACTTTAAGAGGAGCATGTTTTCCCTCTGTTTAGACTGAAAACAATACACGTAGCTACTAACATTCATGAGGGATATTTTTTTAATTAGTCAATTCAGAACATTGGTGGGAAAAAAAATCCTGGTCAGGGAGGGTAAAATAACATTTGCCTCACATCACAGTGAACTTTTTTGTCCCAAGCAGCCTGCCAGTTTTTGAACAGAACTGAAAGCAATGAACAAATGTAGCACTATTTCTGCTTGCCTGTTAGACCCATATAAGTTGCTGGAACAAGCCCCATGAGGTTTTCAGAATGTTGTATTCCTTCATGAAGCACCTTGTGAAACCATATATAAGCAACCCACTATGTTGCTAGCCTGCCAACTCATTAATTTTATTATGAGGCTCGGATTCTGTGCATGGATTTCTGGCTTAGGACCAGTGATTCTGGTGATCAGAAATGAAACTGAAAATTAGAGAACAGGTTCACACAACCTGCTAGGTTGGTTAATTTATGGTTGTGAGTGAATGAGGAATTTAGCCAGGGGTGGCATGTGCTGTGTAAACCAGCCAATATGATTAATTCATAAACAGTGATTCAGTTATGGATTGGCAAGCACTGTGTTTCTGTGGTGATTCTCATCTTTTCTCTGTAGCCAGATTGAGTCAGTCTTCATGGAATGAGAGCAGGACTAGTGTACAATTTGGAGATCATCTACTCACAGCTCCCACTCAAAAAGCAGGTGACAGCTATCTCATGGGAGGCCTTTGCAGAAATTCCTGTCAATTCCATCCATTATCTGGACTGGGAAGGCCTTAGGGCAGTCATACAGGCTTTGAGCAGTGCATGTTTGTACTATTGCAATGCAGTCTACATAGAGTTGCCCTGAAAGGCTACCCAGAAGTTGCAGCTTGTCCAGAATACATCATCACAGGCAATTATGGGCATATCATGGTATACTTATGTATTGCAATTGCTTCATGAGCTACACTGATTATCATTTATAAAAAGGACTTCTTGACATGGGGCAGAAGGACACACTGTCACTCTTCACTAGTTTCTGCCCATCCTATACAAATGGGTAGAGCTGACATGCTTAAATTCCATCAGTTAGAGAGTGTCACCTGATGGGATCCAAGAAGCTGACTTTTTCTTTTGTTGCAACACTTGCTCTAGAAATGATTTTCCCCCCAGAGATCTACATGGTGCCCACCATGATCTTATTTAAATGACCTCTTAAAATCTGGCTCTTCTTCCAGGCCTGGACTAGAGGTGGTGGTGAAAGTCTTGTGGTATGTTTGGTTTGGTAATGCTGGTATTCTTGTATACTATTCAGAATCAAGATTGAGTTGGCTGGCTTAAAAATTAAACAAATAGGGACATTTTGACATTTATATCATAAAACTAAAAATACAATCTGCTTTTCTAGTATTCATGCACTGTTCATGACAGCTAATCATAATGGAATCTAATTGTAAAGTATAATGTAGTTTCAAAACAAAGAAAATACCATGGCAGTAATAAGCATATGCAGCAGATAAAATACAGAGCATGAAAAACATGCATATAATAAATCAAATGTTTAGAAAAATAAGTTTGTTCCCATATGCTGAAATGTTATCAAAAAGGAGCTAAGAATTTATAGTTGAAGTATGTGGCCACTGAGAAGTCCTTTCTTTTCTTCCTACTTGTATGGTAAAATAGCACATACAATCATGTGAAAAAGTAAATACACCCTCTTTAAGTTCTATGTTTTTACATATCAGGACATAGTAAAATCATCTGGTCCTTAGCAGTTCTTAAAAGCAGGTAAATACAACCTCAAATTAACAACAATACATGACATATTATATCCCATCATAATTTATTTTACAAAAAGACAAAATGAAGAAGCCATGTGTGAAAAACTACGTACACCTTATGATTCAATAGCTTGTAGAACCACCTTTAACAACAATAACTTGAAGTAATCATTTTCTGTATGACGTTCTCAGTCTCTCACATTGTTGTGGCGGAATTTGGCCCACTCTTCTTTATAACATTGCTTCAGTTCATTGAGGTTTGTGGGTATTTGTTTATGCACAGCTCTCTTGAAATAC